AAAGAAGGTTATCACCTTGAGTGGTGGTTTCCGACAACGACCTGCTGGCACTATGGCCATTACCATGGTCGGTCGTACCTGCCACCCACTCCTTATGTGTATTCTCTCTTGCCCCCGGGTATAGAGGGACTGTAGTGTGCAAGGGTTGTGTATAGTTTATTTCAGACAATTGCAGAAAATAAGCATACAACAATTATTAAAGCTAAAACAGTAAAGCATGTTATAAAAGCAAGAAAGGATAAAAGCATAATTTCTAGTTTTTATTTCCTAAACTAGTCCATCACTAAATGGGATCAACTCTCTAGCTTCCCCAGTGGAGTCGCCATCTGTCGCCACTGTCAGAAGAGGCGGTCGGAGCAACGTGATGGTTTTGAAATGACTCGCGTTTTCTTTGAAAGAAATGGTTCAATTCCTTTAGGTCGTCCGATAACGGGGCTGGACTTAAAGGCGAGGTTTTCGAATAGGTTCGAGGAGTCGCCATCAGTGTTTTAACCTTAAACACTGAAAAAGGTAAAAAAAGTAGAAGGCAGTGGTTTTAGAAAAAACCAACTTTGGTCATTACAACCAGAGTCGGGTAAGGGAGTTAGTTACGTGTGGAGAAGGTGTTAGCACCCCACAACGCCCCTTTCGGGTTCCCTATGATGGACTAACTTAGAAAATAAACACTTAAAGAAATTACATTTTTACCCTATTATTTGATCTACTTGCAGAATTTAAATATCAACATGGCTCTACTATCTAATGCACACAAAGAAAGCGATAAAGAAAGCAGTAAAAAAAGACAGAGAATAGAGAAGGAACCTCCGAAGCAAGCTTTATATTAGCTCTTCGAAAACGTGAGGACGCTTTTTGGCAGTCCCCGCACTCTACAAACACACTCCTCCCGCAAAATAAAGAAAAGTCACTCTACCGAGGGCCGGATGTCTCAAAAAGAGACTTCCTTAACCGACTTCAACCTTAACGGAAATCAGAAAGCTCCCTCGAACCCCGGAATAATGCTCAGGGTCACTCTCAAGTACCAAAAAGCTTCCAAGAGAGTGGAGGAGTGGAAAAGGTGTGAAAAATCGGAGAAATGAGGCTCCTATTTATAGGGATTCGGGCATGGAAAAGGTGGACGACCGTCTGGACAAAGCGGACGACCGTCCATGGCAAAAAGTGGCCATGGACGGCCGTCCATGCAGTGTGGACGGTCGTCCATGGCAACTTTTGGCCATGGACGGTCGTCCAAGCTAAGTGGACGGCCATCCATGGCCTTAAAGTTACCATGGATGGCCATCTGCTTATCCTGGACGGCCATCTGCCTGTTCTGGACGGCCATCCGCCTGTTCTGGATGACCATTTACTGTCTTCGACGGATTTCCCGATTTTTAATGCCTCTAAAAACCCTTCCTATCCTAAATGGAACCTAGAACAAGCTATTAGGGACTTGATAAAGTCTTAACCATCTTTGAAACGGACAATCTTCGACTTTATTAGGGGGTCGGGCAAGATTTGGGGTCTACAACTACCAAAAGATCAAACAAAGAATCCCCAGTAATCAACAAGGCTGGATGAACACTACAAAAATTCCCGGCACAGACTGGATGACCAAAATCTCAGAAAAGATGAAGACGAGAGAACACATCTCAACATAGGTGCATGAGCTAGAGCAGTAAGCCTCCACCACAGCTAAAGGATCGACTACCGCAAGAAGGAGCATCCGGAGGCATAACACCAGATGGAGGTGTATACTCATCAGGCCTTACAAAAGGGGGCTTACCGGATGGGGGTTCATACTCGTCAAGCACCAGATGGGGGTGTATACTCATCAGGCCTTACAAAACGGGGCTTACCGGGCGAGGGTTCATACTTGTCAAACCAGATGGGGGTTCATACTCATCAGCCGAAAGGATCAGTTACCGCCAGAAGAAGCATCCTGGAAGCACACTTTTTCCCGGAAGATCAACCGCCACAAAGACGGAACATCTGAAGGACAACCGGGCAAGATGGTCAACTCCTTTACCCTCCAGTCGATCTCCTTGGCACAATAGGCCAGCAGTCGACTAGTCGGGTAAAGGGGGGGCAGTTGTAGACCCCAAATCTTGTTCGACCTCATAATAAAGACCAGAAAACCTCCTTTTTGAAGATGGATGAAGCCTAAGAAGCCATTAGGAGAGACTATTAGGCCTCATATTAGAATAGGAGGGATTTTCGGCATGTAAATAAGGATTTTCGCCTTTTAGGGTCGAGACTGCCATCTCGCCTTGCGAAAGTGGTGAGACCGCTGTCTCGTTTGGCGAGACGGCCGTCTCACCATTTCTACAAGGCGAGACTGTCAGACGAGACGACCATCTCGACCTGACAAGCACAAATCCCTATAAATAGCCGCGCCATTCCCCTCATTTCACAAAGTTCTTCCATTCTCTCTCTAGTCACCTCCTCAAATTCTCTTTCTAGAATCCCTCCGAAGAATTTTCGGAGTTTCTGAGAGCTTTTTAGAGTTTTTATAGCGTTTTTTAGAGATTCCGGCGCTGTAAAGAGTGAAGGGCTGCCAAAAAGCACCCTAGTTTTCAAGAAATTAATAGAAAGCTTGCCTCAGAGGTTTCTACACTCTCTCTCTCTCCTTTACCGCTTTAATTTTAATTATGCAATAGATATTAGGGTCATGTAGTCGTAATTTTAAATTCCGCAAATAAAGGGTAAAAGCGTATTTTCACCGGTTTATTTATTCAAAGTAGCTGGCCTATCATAGGGAACCCGAAAGGGGCGTCGTAAGGGAACTAACACTTCCATTACGCGTAACTAACTCCCTTACCCAACTCTGGTTCTAATGACCAAAGTTGGTTTTTCGAAAAACCAACGTCTTTTTACTCCTTTTCCGATGTTTCTGGTAAAAACATCGGTGGCGACTCCAGAAGAACCCTCCAAAATTTGTTCTTGGGTTAGCCCGGTTATCGGACAACCCAAGAGCGCCCTTTCGAAAACTTCGCCCCTAGGTTCAGCCCGGTTATCGGACAACCTAAAGGCGTTGTAACCACACCCATAAAAACGCGAAAATTGGAAAGTCTAAACCATCGTGTCGCTCCGATCGCCTTGTTTTGACGGCGGCAACATCCGATAACTGGGCTAACCCAAGAACTAATTTAAAGGGGTTCTTATGGAGTCGTCACCGATGTTTTTACCAGAAACATCGAAAAAGGGGTAAAAAGGCGTGGGTTTTCGAAAACCAACTTTGGTCGTTAAAACCAGAGTTTAGGTAAGGGAGTTAGTTACGTGTAAGGGAAGTGTTAGTTTCCTTACGACGCCCCTTTCGGGTTCCCTATGATAGGCCAGCTATTTTATAAATAAACTTTTGAAAAGACGCTCTTACCCTTTTATTTACAGAATTAAAATAACGACTACATGGCCCTAATGTTTATCATGCAATTTAATCATAAAAATAAAGATAGTAAGAGAGAGAGAGAGAGAGTGAAGAAACCTCTGAAGCAAGCTTTTTAATTAATATTCTGAAAAGTAGGGTGCGTTTTGGCAGTCCCTCGCTCTTACAACGCCGGAAAACTCTCGGAAACGCTATAAAAAGCTCTTAAAAACTCTCAGAAACTCCAGAAATGCTTCGGAGGGACTCTAGGAAGAGAATTTGAAGAAAGTGTAGAAGGGAAAGTGGAAGATCTGTGTGAAATGAGGGGGGAGGGCTCACTATTTATAGGGATTCGTGCCTATCACGTCGAGACGACCGTCTCGTCTGACAAGGTCAAGACGGTCGTCTCGCCATTCGGGACGGCCGTCTCGACTTGCAAAAGTGGCGAAACCGCCGTGTCGACTTGCAAAAGTGCACAGATGTTGTTCTTCTTGCCAAACGTGAGGGGGGTCTCGCCATTTGCAAGTGGCGAGACAGCCGTCTCGCCAAACGAGACGGCGATCTCGACTTGCAGCAATGGCGAGATGGCGGTCCCGAAAAGCGAGACGGTGGTCTCGACCCCTGAAGGCAAAAATCCTTATTTTTGTACAAAAAATCCTTCCTACTCTAACATGGGGCCTAATAGTCTCTCCTAATGGTTGTTTAGGCTTCGTCCATCTTCGAATAGTGGGTCTTCTGCTTTTATTTTGAGGTCGGGCAAGATTTGGGGTATACAGCTGCCCCCCCCCCCTTTACCTGACTAGTCGTATGTTGGTCTGTCGTGCCAAGAAGATCGACTGGAGGGTAAAGGAGTTGACCCTCTTGCCCGGTTGCCCTTCGGATGTTCCGTATTGCGGCGGTTGATCTTCTGGGGAAAAGTGTGTTGTGCGCCTCCAGGATGCTCCTTCTGACGGTAGTTGATCCCTTCAGTTGATGAGTATGAACCCCCATCTGGTTTGACGAGTATGAACCCCCGCCTGGTAAGCCCCCTTTTGTAAGGCCTGATGAGTACACACCCCCATCTGGTGTTTGACGAGTATGAACCCCCGTCTGGTAAACCCCATTTTTGTAAGGCCTGATGAGTACCCACCCCCATCTGGTGAAGTGCCTCCGGATGCTCCTTCTTGCGGTAGCTGACCCTTTGGCTGTGGTGGCGACTTACTGCTCTAGCTCATGCGCCGAGTGCTGAGATGCGTTCTCTTGTCTTTGTTTTTGTCTTTTTCTAGGAATGGTCGTCTGGTCCGTGCCGGGGATTTTGTTGGTGTTCATCCAGCTTGTTGGTTGTTGGGGATTCTTTGATTTTGATCCTTTGGTAGTGGTCATCCGACTTTGTTGGTTGTCGGGGATTATTCTAATTTTTCTGGTGGTCATCCGGCTTAGTGGCTGCCGGGTAGTCTGGTTTTTTGTTGTTCAAGGTGATTGACTTGTTTTAATCCTGCCTTTTTCCGCGGTTTATCTCTTTTTTCTCGCGATTTTGGACTTTGGATTTTCTGAGCGTAAGTCTTTTTATTTTAGTTTCTTTTTTGCTACGGTGACTCTTTCAGAAAGGAGAGCAAAAATGGATAAAATAAAATTTTATTTATGATAAAATTTTATTACAGTAGTTTATTTTTAAGCCCTATCCCTAAGATGGTGGACTTGAGTCTGGAGACGATCCGTAAGAGGGGAATTTTCGGTACATGTGTCTTCGGAACTCTGCCTGGTCTTGGATTTCGTTGAGGTATTCCTGTCGGAATGTTGCCAGGTCTTGCCTTATTCCCTCTTGGTACTGGCCGAATGTCTCCAATCTCGTGTCGAAGACATCCTGCCTTAAGGACATCTGCTCTTGTCTCAGGGACATTTGGTTGAATTGTTGGCGCAAATCATAGATGTTGCGGTTGATGCCAGCAAAGTCTTCCGTGTACTGTTGTTGTTGTTGTTGTTGTTGCTGCTGTTGTTGGAACTCTGGGGGTGTCGGGAGATCTTGCATTGCTACAATGTCCCGGAGATCCAAAGTTATGTCCAGTGAGGGGTGGAGGATCAACCGGGACCCTTGGCGTAGCAGCATCCCCATGCTGACCAGGACAGACCCATTGATAGTCTCGGGTCGGAGGCTGGAGGTCAGCTCTTCCCTGCCGCTACACCCCCATTTTTCTGCCAGCGGGGTGATGAGGGGAGCCATGAGGATGGCTCCCACGAGCCGGCTCCCGAAGTCCTTGAGGGCCTTCAGGAAGAAATAGTTAGGGTTGCATCGACACCTCTGGCTCATGCAGTAGAGGACGAAGAGATTCGGGAGGGTAACCTTACCCTGACTCTCTTTCCGCTCGTGAATCGTCCCGGCCAGTAGCTTGTGGCAAATACGAAGGGCGGGGGGAAGTGCAGAGCCCTTCAGCAGCGTAGGCAGGGTGTGCGCCCCGATCAGCTCCTCCCACATTTCGCCGACGGTAAGGGTAGTGGGGCGTGCGCAGATGGCCTCCTGGTAATCCCGAGTTAGGACGTCCTCGGGCTGGACGAACCCAATGGACATGTTGAACTCGTCCAGGGTGGTGGTCCGGTACATCCCACCCATAAAGTACGTCACCATCTTCGTTGATGGGAGGCCCAGTACCATGGAGGGAGTCTCGGAGTAGGAGATGGAGGCGAGAAATTCTATCACCGCTTGAGGGTAGACATGGGTGGGTGGAGACTGGAGGAGAAAGCGCCACCCTATACTGTCGATGTTGGCGCGAACATCGTCTTCCCATCCAAATTCGGCGAGGATGCCAAATTTCAACCTCAGCATGGGGTGCCAAGTGTACCCCCGGACGTGCTCCAGGCGGGCCTGGTGCATTGGCGAAAGCTGTGTGGGATCTAGTGGAGTTGGGGCTGAGGAGCTACTGGGGCCGGCAGAACCCCTTCTCTTTCTGGATTGGTCTCCTCAGTGCATTTTGGTGGTAGGATGCTTGAAAGTGAGAGAAAGGAGGGTAGAAGTGCAAGAGAGGGTGTTTGAGACCCCCCCCCCCTAGGCTCCTCTATTTATAGATTTTTCGACCAACCTCGAGACCGTCATCTGGACAGTCGGGACCGCCGTCTCGAATTTGCGGGATTCGGGACCACCGTCTAGAACCTCGAGACGGTGGTCTCGACTTTGGCCTTAAGCGAGACGACCGTCTTGCCAAGCGAGAAGGCGGTCTCGTTTTTTGTCAAGTAGAGACGCCGGTCTCGTTTTGCTGAAAATCGAGACGGCGGTATGGACCTACGAGATGGCGGTCTCGTTTTTTAGAGGCTTTTCTTCTTCTTTTTTTTTTTGAAAGGAAAATAGGACCTTGTTCAAAAATATTTTATGCATGCAATGTTTTCATGTTTGATGTCCTATGATGCCTATTTCATTAGTTTTTCAGAAGGATTTAACTGTCATGTCTTGTAGAGACGAGTGTCCTCTGATCTGCATTCCTTCTGCTTGTAATTGGTTGTACCGTTCCGGACTTCTTGTGACCGAAGAATAATTTTCTTTTTCTTTCTTTCTTTTTCTTTGCTTTTTCTTTTTCTCTCTTTTTTTTTGTAGAGCACACTTTGCCATGTTAGTGTCCCTTTTTCTTCACTTTAGGGGTTTCAATCCTCTTGTTGACTATACGCCTCCATATTCCCAAATTAATTGTTAGAATAATGTTGTGAGGGTCAAGAGAAAAGAAGTAAAAGGGTAAATTCAATGGCTTGTGTTTTAGACGGTCAATTTTATTTAGAAAAGGTTTTGTAAGAATGGCTGGCTAAGGTTGGGCCTAGGTGTTTAAGCTTTTTGTCTAAGTAAACGTTTCCTTTTTTGTTTGTATTTGCGCCTTAGCTTATTTCCATTGCTTTTTATGGCTGGTTGATTTCCCTAGATCGCCCTTTGGGTTTTCGAACTAGGATATTGTGTTTTGGTCCTATCTTTTGTCTAGGTTCCTTCTTTTTGTTTTTGTTTAGGAAATCCTAGCGGACTTTATTTTGTAACCCTAAGTTTTTCCTAGGCTACCCTTTATTTTTGTTCGGGTATCCTACTGGGTTGACCCTATTTTTTGCGTAGTCCCCCTTAGTGGGTTTCCTACCGGGTATTTTGCCCTTTTTTTTTTGTTAGCCTCTGGCTTCTATGGGCTTTTTCTTCTTTTTTTTTGTTGTTATTATTTTTTTCACAATATTGGCGAAGCATGACTTTATTTGTGGTGAGGTAAAGCCTTATTTTGTGCTTCTAATCGACCATCTTGATTGTAATGGCAATGGTAGATTTTGATTACTTGGATGCGCTTTTTATTCTTCTTCTTTTTTGTTTACTTAGACAAGGTTATTGTGAGGTCTAGTCGTGAAATAGCGAGAAGAGAAGTAGATAGTAAGAAATGTATTCTTTATTAATTAATAAGGGAATATGTGCCCTAAAATGCCTGGGGGTCGGGCTAGCCCCGGGGGATAATCTCTAACAATCATTGGGTTTACATCCCTTAAGCGAAGAAAAAGATCTCCTAATGACTAGGGTAGCTCTTGACGCTTGCATCCCTCCGCTTCGAAATATTTGCTTGAGTGTGCGGAGGGGAGACTTCCCTTTTCTTCCTTCTGCTCGGCCCTTAGTAGGGTCATATCCTAGGCCACACTTGTAAGGATTATCTTTGAATTCTGGGGGTTCCCTCATGCCTTGGGAATCTGCCCTTAGTCCTTGGCCAGAATGGTAACCATGCTTCATCATCATGCGGGCTACCTTCGCGTTTTTGGGAAGTCTCTCTACACTGGCGATTTCAAGCGCTTGAAAAGATGTTTCAAGGGCCTCTTCAGCCGCATCCACATAGGGTTGGGTGGACGGTCCACTAATCAGGATATCGTCTTCTGCTTGGACCGTGACCAGTTTGTCATCCACTATGAACTTGACTTTCTGGTGGAGCGTTGAAGGTACTGCCTTAGCGTCATGAATCCAAGGCCTGCCGAGGAGACAACTATATGCCGGAGTAATATCCATTATATGGAAATCTACGTTAAAGATAGTGGGTCCAACTTGGATTGGCAAATTAACTTCACCCACTACTTCTCGTTTTGATCCGTCGAAGGCTCGAACGATAGTGCTGCTTGGGCGCAGACGGGTTCCTTGGATAGTCAACTTGTCGAGTGTGCACTTAGGCATCATGTTCAAGGATGACCCGTTATCCACAAGAACTTTGGCAATGAGGTACTCCTTGCACTTGATAGAGATGTGCAAGGACTTGTTGCGATTTGACCCTTCGAGGGGGAGTTCTTCCTCTGTGAAGGTGAGGTGATCGCTTGCCGTAATGTGACCGACGATCCTCTCGAAATTTTCTTGGGATATGGTGTGAGGTACATGCGCTTCGCTCAAGACCTTCATCAGGGCATTTCTATTCAGTTCTGAGCTCATCATTAGAGATAATAGGGTTATCTTTGCAGGTATATGATTGAGCTGGTCAATAATGGAATACTCGTTTTGCCTTATAAACTGGAGTAATTCCCTTGTCTCCTCCTTGGATTCTTTATTTTCTTTTTCTTCGGTCTTTTTATTTTTTTCCTTTATTCTTGGGGACGTCTTCTTGCGAGTCCTTGGGGGAGTAGACTCTTTCACTTCTAGTCATTCCCCAATGCCGGCTAACTTGGTGATATCCTCTTTTATTGGTGAAGATTCCCCGTATCTCCACGGTACAACTTTATTTCATTCGTAGGGGAAAGGACGTGGCATAAATAATCGCACTGGTGTCCTTGCCTCCTCTTCCTTATTGTTTTTGAGGACCAACGATTGAGGCTTATTGTCCTCTTGTGGCGGGTCAACCGTTGAGGAAAGCTTGATTAGGAGTGGCTTTTTCTCCATTCTTCTGATTTGGAAGACGTGTCAGTTAATACTTCCTTTTTATTATCTTATTTATTAAGAGTGAAGGAGGGGAAGTTAAATATGCAAATGAATGATATGCATGCAAGTAGACAATTGTTGAATAGAGAAAAATTTCATTTATCTGTAGAAGGTGTACATTCCCCTATTCCATACTACGAAGCAACTTTTGACAGAAACAGAAAAGCCTAAAGAAACCCATAGGAGGGTCTTGATCTCTATGTAATTCCCTTTCGGCTTCCCGGACGTGACGAGCGAGTGTTTCGCTTTGCTTCTGGATTGCCTGGCTCATATCTTCACTGTACTTTTGAGCCTCTTTGATCTTCGCCTCTTGATAGACGACCAAGGCTTGTAGCTCGTCAAGTTTTGTAAGGGCTCGGTCCTTTTCTTGTAGTACTTGGCCATACTGAGCTAGCCCGTCTCTTTCTTTATAGCGTAGCTCAGTGAGACTTTTGCTGAGTCTCTGGTTGGCCTCTCGCTCTTGGCGTATCTCCGACCGAGTCCTGATGAGGTCTTATAGCAAGTTCTTGATCGTCTGGGCTTGTTTTGCTTATTTGGCCTCAAGGTGTGCTGATTTGGCGGTTATTTCTTGAAGTTGGCTATCCAAGCTGGTTCTAGCAGCTTTGGATGCTCGGATAGCTTGCTCATTAGAGTCAGCACACTGATCCTTGAGGCGCTCTATTTCATGATCCTTTTTCTTGCATTGCCTCTGTAGACCGTCTATGGTGAGGATAGATTCTTGCTCTCTTTCTTCAAGGGCCCTCATCTAGGCTCCCATGATTTTTATCCTCTGGGTCAAGGCGTCGACTTGAGTTTGCAGCTTTTCACTATTGGCACATGTAGCGAGTGAGGTGGATGGTTGAGACATCCCTCTTCTTCTTCTCCACACCTCATAGTCACTGGAGGCAGCTACCCGAGCTTTTCCTAGCTCTCTATCTCCCATAAAAACTGGTCTCTCCCACGCTCTTCTCACAGCTAATGAGTTAGAAATTGTGCATGGGTCTCCGAAGAAACACAGTCCTCCGAGCTCCCCTCGGGAAATTGTAGTTTGAGTCCTCATGAGTTGTCTCATAGCTATCCTCGGTGAATAGGCTATGCAACCCCTGAGTCCTATCAACGGTACGTTCGGATAATCCCCACATCTGATGAGGACTGCACCTGGTCGGAACCAAGGGCAGACCCAGGATAAATGGTTGGCGTCCCATTGTTCCAACTCGTCCTTCCACTCTGAGGTTAGGCGTCGTTAGAGAGGGATTTTTGAGAAGCTCCTCAAAGGGTCGGGGAACATTCCCATTTGACTAGAGGCGTAAAAATGTGTGATGCCCCACACGAAAAGTAGTGAAGAGCAACAACGGAGTGTTTTTCCTTTCTTCTAGCGACAAAATTCCACCGAGAGCAAGGTCTCGGCAAGAATTGCAGGTAAGGGACTCTTTGAGTTCGCGTCCCAGGCGAAGAAGGCGTCCATGATGGCTTGGTCCATTGTGTCGATGTGGAAGGGAAATAAGATTGTTCCAAATATAATCAAGGCCAGGGTTTTGTTAAAGGCGACCTATTCTGCTCTTTCGGCCAAAGTGGACAGATGGTCTTCTAACATTGAAACTTTCCAACCTTGGATGTTCCCTATTTCTATCAGGGTAGTCTGCCGGAATGACAATCGGATGATGGCAGCGATTTCTGCTGCAGGAGTGTATGCCCCATGGCGGATATGGACCTTAATTGATTTGGGTCATTTTAGCATAATTTCATACTCCTCCAAAGTGGGCACCATATCGAACTGCGGAAATTCGAAGCAGCGCAGACTGGAGTTCCATAAATGAACTAGTACCCTGATGAAATAGGATCGACACAGATCTTCAGCAGGTCAAGGATCCGTCCATAGGATTTTTCAAAGTCGGAGCGAACCTCTGGTGGCATTATCGCGCAAAGTCATTCTAACTTCTCAGTATGGTACCAAGGAATGTCCACTTTCTTCAATTGTCTACTAGTCCCCTCCATTT